AGAAAAATTAAATTACTAAATTCTCACACTGTATCGTAAAAATCTTGTTCGTATCTACTATAAAGTAGACTTAAAACAACCAGATGTCCGCCATTAGAGGGGATTGCCCCACAATTGAATTTATTACCTCCCGTTAAAAATGTCCTTCAAAATATCCCCTATTAAAACTTCCATTAATAAATGTTTTATATTCAAACCAATGCTTTGCGATCAAAAAAGTACAGAATTGAATCAATGTTAATATAAAATATCAAATTTCAAATTTTCACTTATATATATTTCAAAATTTCCACCTTCCAATTTCAAAAATTTGATGACGGTAATTTGGAAATTTACAGAGCTGAAAATTTATAAACTAACTTTGATAACTTGGTGATTTGAAAATTATTTACTTTATGAGTTTTACAGGACATCTATAAATTCAGAAATTTTAAAATATCAAATTTTCAAATTTACATATATATAGATCTATACATATAACTGGATAATTTGGTAATTAAGAAATTTACAGAGCTGAGAATTTATAAATTTATAACTGATAATTTGATAATTTGAAAATTATTTACTTTATGAGTTTTACAAGACATCTTTAAATTCAAAAATTTAAATATATCAAATTTTCAAATTTACATAGATAAAGATCTATACATATAACTGAATAATTTGGTAATTTGGGAAATTAGAAATTTTATGGCTGCATTTTAACAAGAATTGTGTAATTTCACTGTTACGTTACGTGTCTGACAATGTCAATATTCGCAAATATGAACGCACCTTGTTCAGTACAGAACAAGTGAACGCACATGCGCAGTTGTGTGTACTTTGCCGAACCCATGGCATTCAAACGAGGTGAACGTCACGACAAAGTGCACCTACCGATATTCGTCGACATAACCTTAAAGGCCGTCGATGCGCGATGTAGTCAACGAGCTTCATTCTCCGTACAGTACTCGACTCGATTTCTCGATAATAAAGATAATTAGTGAACGTGAAATAGTAGACGGAGTACGATCGTGTAATCAAGATTCTAAATAACGTGATGAGGTCTAATTGAAAGGTGACGTCAGAGTGCTCCTGACGTGTAAACGCATTACTTTAAAATCTGAAACTTTAACATATCTGCCACAGTGAAATAGTGTTATGTATTATACTGCAATTACGGTTATTCAAAATATGTCTTATTTTTCAGTTTAATTTTTCTTTTGTTACGTTAAGTGTACACCTGTCACTGTTTAAAGAAATCGATATTTTTTAATTGTCTTACATGAGGCAATGTCTTGCTGTCATAAAACGAATGAAATATTGTATTTGAATAATATTTTGTGTTAGGTTACGAAAAAAATGGCGGATAATCGATGAATATACTAGATTTTAAAATTATCGAACTCCGACATCTTGTAGAATTTTTAAATTATAAAAGTAGATAAATAAAAATAATAATTATATGTCTTTTAAAAAGATTAAAACCATTTACAAATAACCTATAAACAAAATAATCGATTCTTTAAGCATATCTGACAGGTCCCTTTCTAAAATTTTCTTAACTATTTTTCTTTTAGTTATTCGATTATGTGACATTCGTCAATCACCGATAATTACTGCGACGTTAACATGTTAATGTGACACGCGATGTGTTATTTATACCAAGTGTCCAATTGTTCTATCAAGTAATCGAAATTAGAAATTGTGTATTATATTCTAGTGAAAGATGTCTCATATCAGATACAGTGAAAGAAGTATTTTATAGAACGGAATGACTTGTTACAGATAACATTGAATTCTGGAATTTTATTTTTTTATTGGAAGTATAATAAAGGATCGATTTATCACGATGTTTATTGCTACGGTGTGATCTTTATTAGAGGGAACTTATATTTATGGTCTCCCTATTTTTTTCCTTTTTCTCTACCATATCATAATCTTGTTTACGAGCCATTTATGGTTTCATTTATCGCGTATTGATACAAGCGCATAACATTTTACGCACTGAAATAAAAATAATAAAGAAGTGCTGATAACCGACGTCAAGGAATATTAAAATTTTACCAGTCATAATATCTTATTTGCATTTCTCGAGAAAAAGAAAAGCATTAAGAGAAGAATAGTATTATAAAAATAAGATAATAATTGTAACAAAAGTTACTGTTTGCACCCAGTATATTTCACTTCCATCGCTAAATATTTTACATTTTTACAATTGTTACAGCCGTGCAGTTAGTACATGCAATGGTTATTTATGTACATGATACATCTAGTTTTTAACACCATGTAACGCTTCCACGCAAATAATGAATTAGTAAAATTATTTGTTGAAACAAATTGGTTCGATGAGACGATTTATGCACCTGTAGATGATAAATAATTTTTATGAAAAATGTCTTACGCTTTTTTACGGTTAAAAATTAGAATAGTGATGGGCAGATTAAATGTTAGCTGAAGAGCAAATTTTTAAATTTAGAAATTTAACATTTGATCATTTTGTAATATGATAATTTGGTAGTAATTTGGTAATTGATAATCTGAAAATTTAGTACTTTAATAATTTGGTAATTTGGAAATTTAAAAAATTGTAATTTTAATTTTGAAACTATTTAATTCTAAAAATTTAGAAATCTAGAAATTTGAGAAATTAGAAATATGAGAATAATAAATTTTTCTTTCAGAAATTTTTAATAACAAATTTTCAAATTAAGAAATTAATTACCCATCATTGCTTGCAGCACAGTTGCCCATCATTGATCTAAAATTAATATTTCTAATCTTATAATTGAAATCCTATCATTTATCTACCTATTCACAAAAAATTATATTATTTAAATTGTATTTTGCGAAACTAATATTACAAAGTACAGATTTAATACTGAATCAATGTTGAAAGTCATTTCTGAGAAGTCTATGTGAAAACTAGGAACACTTTTGAGAAGTGAAAGTTGCATTGAACTCATTAACAGCATACTAACCTATTTGCACCAAATACAAACTACAACCGGTTTCCATATAAAATTATAAAAATCACGTATACAAGAACTAAATTTGTATTCTGTCGACACCTAAGATTATTTATTATGCAAGTTTCCGAGTAAATTACCAGTTTTGAGTGCGTTCACCTCCTGCTATTTCTGTAACCCGGAATCACAGATTACGTTTGCGTGTCAAAGTAAATCATGCCTCCAATCGAATTTCAATTCAAATTTTATTTAAAATTTCAATATTGAAAGCTTCTACAGTAACATGTATTATTTAATCTAGTATTGCAACTAAGAAATAATATATTATTTATTTACAACAAATCACACAAAATTAAATTTACATAGTAATTTACATACTATTACTGCTTCCATTTGACGTTTATAACTTTATTCTAAAATATATTGTAAGTTATTCTACAGAATGTAAATCATACAGAGTCAATTGAATAGTTAACCCTAATTTATTCGACCAGTAAAAAATCGTAAGGCAAGGGGCTTCCAAGGCAGTTTTCGCAGTGAACAAAGCTCAATGGTAACAATTCGAAATTCAAATGTGAGATCGCCAAAAACAGATGTAACGGTAGACGTTGAGAAACTGGTAGCACGCCAAAGCTTTATTCGCATTTATGAGACGAAAGAATGTGTGATGAAACGACGAGGAGAAGTTGATGTAATATGTGGATCTGGCTGCATTGGTGTACGTGGACAGATGCATCCTGATCCTACCACACACGTGTATCGCTGTCTATTTTTCGTCGTACGTACACATACGACACCTTCCTTCTGTCAATATGATCCTAGGCACATACACAGTCACGTACTGCTATGTTCCGTGCACGGTATTGCATAAGTTCTCGCCATCATTGAACTATGCCTGCAAACAACTGATCTAATTCTAACCTACGAACATCACTGATCGCAATATCGATTGTAGTCAATGGATAACGACAAAATTAAATCGTCATTGAGGTTAAAATAGATATCGAGAAGAAACGAAAGTTTAGACGCAATACATGTGCGATAATTTATTCAAGAATATTCTTTCTTCCTTATATGCAATTCGCATATAAGCCATGTAAATTTCGATTGAACGACCGTTATGGTATATACACGTGTCGGTTAAGTAGGCAGACGTAATACAGGTTAGAATCGTATGATGTTAACTAGACAATTATTCGTACGATTAATTGATCTTGCGCGTTCGTCTGAACTTTGTATCGTTTAATAAAAATAGTTTATTTAAATAGTTCGTGAAGTTTGTGTATCTGATCTGACAGATACACGTTATCGGTTAAAGGTTATACCGATAACAGAATAGTAAGAAATCTGTACTCCGCGGTAAAAATAAAATTGTGTATGTATAATATTTTCAAAATAATATTAAATTACGTATTGTTAGCCTAATATTTTCGGAACACGTTTATTTTAATCGTGCTTTTCTTCCTCTCCTCCCAGTCATGTGGCTACGAATCACGTGACCGAAGTATTATTAGACGAAATTTTTCCGATGTTCATGTTGCACCATAAATTTAATAATTTCGTACATAAAGAAGTAATTCGATTCTTATATAAAATTTTATAAATTTAATTTTGTCACCGTTTATTTAGATACGATTTAAAAATTAATTTAAACATGTACTGTTTAATTACGATTTCATGAAATACCATAGCTAATATTTTAAAACCGAGAAATCGTAACATTCATATTCGCGTGACCTGAACTTGACCTCTCCGCATATATATAACGAACATCAGATGAAAACATCCACCTCATTAGAAATTTGTTTATGCATTACGTTACAGAAATATTGATCGATGCAAATTTAAAATTCTTTCAGTAACAAGGAAGCTATTGGGTGTCGACTAAATGTCAGTCAAGGTCGAATCTCATTGTAGGTCGAACGTTCCTGACAGCATTTCCCATTGATTTTTCATTGTCCAAGGATCAGGCGATCCATGAGAGTGCATGATAATTTTCTTTTAATTTTTGTGGAAACTATTCATTCAAGAACACGCACGAACATAACTTACCTGATATTGATGAGGTGATTCCTGACCCAAAACACGTATCAAAGATGTTGTATCGTCCGCTGGTTGAAAAGCGACTGAGGTAAACCTAGGGTATTCGTCGGTTTCAAAGTCTGAACCAGAATGGTTGTAGCGCATGCGCATTAGCCTTAACCGTGAAGGTTCTCAACCTTGATCACATGACTGTCCATTCCAGGGAACATACGTAGGTGTGTAAATATAAAACCTAGCGCCACGGATATTTCGACAATCAAAATACATTCTTATATATTTCAGTGTAACAATTTCGTTACACGATCATAATACACTGCGAAAAGAAAAGAATTTTGCATACAATTTCGATAGCTTTACTTTTACGAATACTAACATTTGAATGTAAACTATTTCACATTAGAGCGTAATTAAAGCAATTACATACTAGTAAAATATTCATATTGTGAACGTCAGAGGACTTCTTTGACAATGATCAGTGCGCAGATTGTTATTTTGAGTATTATGTATCTGCTTTATTTTTATAAACATGTATCCGCGTTCAAAATAACTCGTCGATATAATCAATAGATACTCGAAAAATTGTATTATTATTTTAAATCATTCTGAAATGAAGTCAGTAACTGATTTTAAGTCAATAACTGACGTTCGTAAATACGTTTGAAATTATATGCGTCGTAAATTTAAAATTGCTGAAACAACACGTGGTATCAATCATTTTATTTTTATTTTTTCACGATTCCGTTACATGATCACTGGTGCGCCGGCACGAAAATAAGTTCGATAAGTCGCATTTAATTGTGCGATTGTTACGACACTGACAGATACACGTGTTGACGATCAGGACCCTAAAACCGAGGAAGATGATATAACGCGGTTGGTGGGGATCCATGGAGCTGACGACATATCGACCACTGGCAAAGCAAATTTCTGAACGTATCGTACGATTACGATACGTTTTGAAAGCCTCCGAGTGAGAATCACTGTTTTAAAGGTCAGTCAAGGGCACCTTGCGTGACATTCGCCGAAATTGCTGACAGCATTTTTCAGCAGAAGGTTTACGCTCTCTCTTTCGTTGATATACGTGCAATGAGACATGCACGTCATTTTTCTGAATAACCTTTTTATCTTTGCTAGATGTGACTGTTGATAACGCAAGTTTGTCTTGTCAGGTGTCATCTCATGATTCAATTTCTTCATAATAATTCTTAAATCGATGTAACTCGGATTATCTGATGCAACCTCGTGTAATTCTAAAGATTGCAGTACAACGTACACGTAATAAATAGTAATTATTTCTACGTTTGCATTAGTATAGCTTAGTATAAATTAGTATAGTTAATGTATGACTGATATATATCTTATGTATTACTTATTCATTAGTGCAAAGAATTAACTGTCAAATAAATTTGGAGCTTCCTTGTTAATTTCTATTTCGTTTATTCAAACTACTGTTCTTTCTCTTCCTGCAAGAAATCTGTTAAGAGTTCTTTTCAACGAATTTATTATTGTAATCGCAAAGAAATGCATGAAAGATGAAAAATGAAAAATGAATGAAACGGTCTTATTTAGAAAATTGTCTATCATTTTTTGTATGAAACACCAAAATAAAATATTGTAATTTTAAACGTTATATATACGTTAGAATATTTTTTAAATAATATATGATTTCTGAAAAATATTATATTGGTTTTGACATACTCAATATAGTAGTGATTATGACTGTGGTATTACTAATTTAATTTATTACGGTTTTGTATTCCTTTCATTTTATACTATTATTCACTACAAAGATCTTTTGTTCTATTGTTCAAACCTGAAACTGACAGCCAGTCATTTCGGTTGTCATTTTCAGCAAACTTCAATCTTCAAAATAAAGTGCTATTTCAAAACGGTTTTATGTAATGAAATGATGTCAAATAAAATAAAATCTGAGATTCGTAATATCTTAATAATTTGAGATATTGCGTATAATTACTAAAAAATATCATTAAGAATCTTTAATGATTTCCATAATTTCTTATAAATATTTAATAATTTCAGCGAGAGGTTCTCTTGGTGCAGATACCATTACTTAATTGTACTTGTCCTAAAGCCGCTTCAGAACAAAGTCTAGCTCTTTCTAGAAAAACTTCTTGAGCTTGTTCGTTGTTGTCTGCGTTTCCGCCCCAAACCTTCATCGCTGTATTCTTTCAAAGAGTAAACGGTTAATCGAAAAAACGTTAAATAAATAATGTATATTTTTTAGCATTTGTTTACTTGTAAAGCACGTCCATAGCAGAAGCTCAGCGTCCACGGTTTTTTCCCTTCGTAAGTATTAATGGCGTTCAAATTAAAAACAGACTCTGTATCTGATTGCCCGCCGCTCAAAAATAAAATCGCTGGCACTGCTGGGGGCACTGTTCTTTGCATAGCATTTAACGTATACTCGGCAACGATCTATGAATATTTCCGATTAATTTATGATTATAGATGAGGATATGTTCTGTGCAGTAAGGAAGTTTGCATTCTTTTCAATCCTCTTATGATTGGAAAGATATACTTTCGGGGAAATGATGTAGGACATGTAAATATCAAAGGCTTTGTTAGATATTTGTTAATATATTGAAGAATGTTTAACATTTAATATTAAATATTTAATGATACTTAATACTTAACATTAAATACTTAATGATATTAAACATTTAATATTAAATATTTACCATTAAGTACTTAATGATATTCAAAATTTAATATTAAATATTTGTTAAAATATTTAGCATTGTTTAACATCTTATGTGAAATATTTCTTTGAACATTTATCATAGTTCAATGTCTAACAACGAATATTTTTATTTAACTAAATATTTCTTACAATATTTGAAGGAATACGTTATTCTGCACGCGAGCTATATGTATGACAAATCTGTATAATAAGTTATTCAGAACACTTACTCATGCAAAGTTATTAATAATAATTAAATATATACATTCATTTATACATACATGCTCCATATTTTTAAATGTTGTTTCTATTAATTTTATTCTAGCAACTAATTGTTCATCATTTTTGTAGTAATATTGTACTTGTGGAGACAAGTAAAAGATATAATGTACAAACAGCTGTCTTGGTTTGAAAAAATGATAATAAAATTCTGTCCATATTGTTCGTAATAGAACACATGTTTCAAGCATTTAAAATACAACATATTTTGCATTGTTTAACATTTGAACATCTGAACTTATTTTCTTGTATTATCTCGTTAATATCTTAGTATCTCGCTATCTCGTTATTAATATTAAATATATGTTTATTGTCTTTTTCAATGATTGTAATATATATTAAAAATGTAAAAATAAATTCAAAATATAAAAATCAAAAGTTTCTAACAAACTATTTAATTTTATCGAAAGTTTCGCTCCTCTTCTACGATTCATTTGTTCATTTTTACTTCTACTTATTTTCTACATACTTGGGAGTATGAAACTCTTGTTCTATATAATTTCTACTTCTACTTCCTATTAATTTATAATACAATTTACAAACCGATATGGTTTTATCTTAATGAGACAAATACGTCTCAAATAATATTATTTTAAATACGTAACAAGATAAACATTGACTATAAATTATTTAAAAAAATAAATTCAGTTACATAAATTATGTTCACGATTGAGTCATTCTATCGCAACTCTGTAGCTGATAATCTTAAAAGTTTCCAATTAGTATGAAGATATAGAAGCTGAAAAATTTATTCCTACTTATAATAGATATACCTATTGCGAATTAAACGAACAGCAGGTCATAATCTCTGGAACAAAGTTTTAAAACTGACAAGAAGATATCATGTACCAGTGGTCGTTTAATGGATGTAATTTAATTTAAAAAGAATTAACTTCTGTTATGGGGATTAGAATGATAGATGATATAGGATTTGTTTTCTTGTTGGATTTGGATTTGTTTTCTAATACAGCATAATTTTTCTTTATACCTGCTGGTATCTTTGTTATATCTTTTATTATACTTTTATTACTATACTTTTACTTATACTTTTTTATATTTTAATAGTATAAAATATTCTGTACTATACTTAAATAGTATAGAATATTACAAAACACTCTATATTATAGAATACTCTATAATATAATATAATATTGAATAATATAGAATATTTTTCTGTACTCAAAAAGTATAAAATGATATTTTATATTCAAATAACATAGAATAATATTAATGCAATAATTAAAATTAAGTTGTTATACCTGAGGCGTGCAATTAACATTATTTTGTATTCCTGACAAAACCATAGCAGGTTTCAGAATCATTCCTTCAAGATAAACCCGATGCTCATTTAAAGCACGGAATAAAACTGATAGTACTTCTTCGTGAACCTCTAATGCTCTATTTATTCCATGATTGCCGGTATTTAATATTTCTGGTTCTACGATTGGTACGATTCGTGCACTCTGACATATACTGGCGTATCTTAAAACGAATAAATCATTCATTAATATTGATCAAGTGACATAACAATTCGCGAATAAATTAATGACAGAAAGTTATCGTATTAGTATGCTTATAAGCGGATATTAAGATTTTAACCATAAAGCGATTAAAAGTTGTATAAATTCATTAACAAATAGTATTCACGTTAGATTATTTAAATAATTAAACATTCATTAAAGAGTAAATATAAATAGAGTTAAGGTACTTGTTAAAACTGGTATTTGAAAATTTTATATTATGAACAGCCATTTTTATACATTATTTAACACTGAAACTATCAAGCGATCAGATAACCATTTTACAAGTTTCTTTTTCTAACAAGAATTGTTAAAATACTTTCCTTGAAACGTATATTGATTTTCATCAAGATAATTTATTTATATTAATTAATTTATATTTATCGTATATCTTTCAACTTCATATTTAATTTCAAAATAACTATTTTACAAGTTTCTTTTTCTAACAAGATTTGTTAAAATACTTTTCTTGAAACGTGTGTTAATTTTCATCAAGATAATTAATTTATATTTATCATTTATTTTTCAACTTCATATTTAATTTCAAAATAAACACAAGTCGATAGGTCTAACAGTAAAATCTTTTAATTTCTTTTAAACAAAATACAGCAACGTTACAGCCACTAAAAACACCATAGAAAGACTACTGTAATTTCAATAACAAAAAATATATAAAAAGCATAAAGAGAAAATAAAGAAAATTACATAAAATAAAACTGCGTTATCTTGAAGCATGACCAAAGTTCCAAACCCCTAAAGTAACCCAATAATTTATCCGAAACCCCTAAAATCGCTGACTCCCGATAGAAATACTTCCTTAGCATAAATCTAGTCATCCTGGGACAAGCATGATTACTCCCTAGTTTGCATAAGCAACCAATTTAAGGGTTTATCGAGTCGAACCTTGCAAGGACGTTCGCATTCGCAGCCATGGCCAGCTGACTCGGCGTGGTCTCCGAGATGGTATACGTGCATCGCCATTTTGCGAAATGGCAGCCATCTCGTTTATACTGGATGCATCTCTCCTGCAAACTGTCCAAACCTTCCGTGGTGTTTTCGTCCTTCGTGCCAAATAGCTCGACCAAACCTCTGTCGACCTTAATGCCGGGTACGACATTTCTCTGGCGTAGCAGCTCGATGAAGTCAATGTCGTCCGTGGTTTTCTGATAAACTGTCTCGTGATGCAGAATAACACCGCTAATATATTTTGAGAGTCGGGACTACGACAAGAAAATGCAAATTGGAGAAAGTTTCCGATTGATACAATGTCGATGACTTGTCAGTGCATCTTTGTCCATGTAACGTTTCGATTTCGGTTCTTTTGATCGTTCGAGTATTGAGAAAAATTAGGGATTATTTTGTAATGACCTTGTCGGCTGTGAATAACATTTGTCGGTAATCGCGTCGTGTGGTTTCTGTGTTTTCTATGTTCAGTTCGTTGAATCGCTTTTCTAAGGAGGTTGGAGATTCGTCGCATGCTAGCAACCCTTTTCCTGGCGCGATCAAAGTTTCTACGATTTTTCGCAGCTCCTGACATAGAGCGGGGTCTAGGTCCGAATATTTTGTAACGGTTGACAAGATCTAGGAAATAAATATCAATTTTTGAGGTACAATTTTCATAGTTCTTAAAAGCATAATCCGGATTGTGTGATTAGAGCTCCAAGAAATGTATTAGAACTATAATTATTCGCCTTTTTTTAAAGTTTTAAGTTAAGCTTTAAATTTTAAGAGTATCGAACTCAGAACTTTGAACTGAGGATCTGATTATTATTACAGCCTAGAATTCGTTTGAATATTCAATCGTGAACATGGGTGAATAACTTCTATAATTTTATATCCTTGCTGATGTTTCATTTCAATAATAAATTAATTTTTAATAACTAAAATTTGAATATTTAGAAAGAAGATTATTTTCTTATTTCGTTAACATGATTATAGAATTTTGATTTTAATTTGATATTTCAATTTGTAAAATAATCATTGAACATTCTGAATTTGTCATTTTAAAATACGGCAATCTTTCAACTTTCTTCGCACGGTTTCTGTTATCAGTCACTGATATAAGGTCGGCAAAGTCCACAGACGATACCGAATGTTACAGCATAATCAAAGTTGCGTTTTTCGATTATTTGCTTCTTTTTAATTTCAGATAATCTAGTACTGATAAGTGTAATCCGGTGTGTCAATAAGGTACCACTTGTTTTGCATATTTGCAATTTTTATGAAAAAAAAAATAAAAATTTTGATTAAAGTATTTTGCAAGAGAAAAAGAGAAAAATATGGATTATGTTTATAAATGAATTAAAATGTGTAGTATACTTTTAGTGTATAATTTCACTGCCTTTTTCAACTAAATGAGGCAGGATTTATTTTTTGGTATATGGCAAATTATTTTAGGACGAATTAGTTTTTGACTGCTGATTTTTCAAATTTATAAATTTATTTTACTAATTTACTAATTTACTAATTTACTAATTTACTAATTTACTAATTTACTAATTTACTAATTTACTAATTTACTAATTTACTAATTTACTAATTTACTAATTTACTAATTTACTAATTTACTAATTTACTAATTTACTAATTTACTAATTTACTAATTTACTAATTTACTAATTTACTAATTTACTAATTTACTAATTTACTAATTTACTAATTTACTAATTTACTAATTTACTAATTTACTAATTTACTAATTTACTAATTTACTAATTTACTAATTTACTAATTTACTAATTTACTAATTTACTAATTTACTAATTTACTAATTTACTAATTTACTAATTTACTAATTTACTAATTTACTAATTTACTAATTTACTAATTTACTAATTTACTAATTTACTAATTTACTAATTTACTAATTTACTAATTTACTAATTTACTAATTTACTAATTTACTAATTTACTAATTTACTAATTTACTAATTTACTAATTTACTAATTTACTAATTTACTAATTTACTAATTTACTAATTTACTAATTTACTAATTTACTAATTTACTAATTTACTAATTTACTAATTTACTAATTTACTAATTTACTAATTTACTAATTTACTAATTTACTAATTTACTAATTTACTAATTTACTAATTTACTAATTTACTAATTTACTAATTTACTAATTTACTAATTTACTAATTTACTAATTTACTAATTTACTAATTTACTAATTTACTAATTTACTAATTTACTAATTTACTAATTTACTAATTTACTAATTTACTAATTTACTAATTTACTAATTTACTAATTTACTAATTTACTAATTTACTAATTTACTAATTTACTAATTTACTAATTTACTAATTTACTAATTTACTAATTTACTAATTTACTAATTTACTAATTTACTAATTTACTGATTTACTAATTTACTAATTTACTAATTTACTAATTTACAAGTTCAAAAATTTACATAAATATGTAAATGCAATTTTTTTCAATTGTATTATGAACTTGGGAATATGAAAATTTGAAAAATTAGCATTTTTAAAATTTGAAAAATTAGCATTTTTAAAATTTAAAGATTTGGAAACTTTTAAACGTACAAAAATTACAGTATTTCTTATTGTTAGCAAAATCGTATGTATGCGATATTTATTAAAATTTGATTATAAAACAATTTAAAATTGATATATACGATTTTGAAGAAATCAATTTGTAACACTTAACATGTACCATCCAGTACATTTCTACAATAACCACTATTATCGAAACTATATTTTTGTCAGTAATTAGAAATGTATTTTCTTGCAGTAAACTAAATAATACAAATATTTGTACAGTGATGGAATTAATAATAAAACTATAACAGCTTACTTTGTCTTTGCAAGAACATTTATCTCCTAACCGCATCATTGTTGTATCATTAATTTAAACTTTACCAATAACACCAGTTAATTTAACAGAGATGACAGAACATCGAATATATTTTTACATAATTTTAAGAATCATATTTACAGAAATTTTTGTGGAAATTCCTGTCTTCATTCAGGAATTATAAAACAGTTGAATATTTATTTATTATCAAAAGGTACATAATCGTAATTTAAATCTATAATACAACAATTGAACTAAAGTTATCTTTTTAAAGAATCATTAAGATATTGGTGAAATATTTTTTTTTTATTGAGGAAAGACATGACTGGTTATGGAATTATATAAAATGTAATGTTTCAAATTAATATTGACGATATGAAGCATATTTCGTAATTGACCGCTACCAATCACCGGAAGAACCACAACGAAAAACCCTACTCGTTTCGTGTATAATTCTTCATTGAAAACTTGCCCTGAATTTCGACAAATTTTCGAAATGGAAATCGATGAAAGGAATTGTTACAAGTTGTTAAATCGAGGTTAGTTGCGGTTACGTATCAGCAGGATGTATAAGTACATTGATAGTGAGCAAGTATTTAATAATTATTTTGCATTATTTTGTCGTTAACACATCCGTTTATATGTGATTCTTACCTATCATTCCATATGAAAACACTTCACAGTGAGAAACCTCCATTTATGATTTGGAAGGTTATTCATCGATGCGACGAAACGATAAATACACGTTGAAAAATACAATAATTAAATCTAGGATAGATTTAATTCATTTAGAAAGTTAGTGAAACGTTACAATGAGTAACAGAGAGAAAAGTGATTCACGATCGGAGCAATGCTCCAAAGAGAGAGAAGAAAGGGAAAGGAAACAGTCGGTCTCTTCGCAAAGCGATGATTCCGATGGTAAAAAAAAGAGGCGTAACACGTGCAGTAAAGATAAAAGAAAGAAATCGAGACATAGAAGTAGTTCTAGTGGTTCGAGCTCCTCTAATGCCTCCAGTCGTGAAGCTAAACATCAAAATGACAGAGACAGGAGGACCGACAAATGGGATAAGAAGTATGAGAATGGAGTTAGACCATACCGAATGAATGCGAGAGAAAGTAGAGGGTACTATAAAGGACGCAGCGGATTCTTTGATAATCGAAAGCGTAATTTTGGTTATCGACCTTATAAGCATGGATTTTATGATAGAAATAGAACACATAACAATTTGCAATATAATAGATATAATAACGAGAGAAGAGGAAACAGATTCTTTAATCATAACAATAGGAGACCACCTTACGATAGATCCAGAAGTCGAAGCAATCAGGATCATGATCATCAAAGAAGCTTGAAAGACTCCAGCGAACACTCGAGAGAAAGCAATTCAAAAGAAAGACCTGTGAAACATTCTAATATTGAGAAAATGGAATCAAAAAAGAGGGATGTAGATGATTCTCATGTGAAAGGAAAAGAAAAAAAGAAAGAAGAAGATACACAAGAAAAGACTGATCATCTTGTTCGCAAAAAATCAAAGAGGAAAAGGTCTTTATCCTCTTCAAGTTCCTCGAGTGTAAGCAGTACTAGCAGTGACAGTAGTAGCAGTAGTTCTAGTAGTAGTAGTACTAGCAGTAGTTGTAGCAGTAGCAGTACAGATTCATCCGAGGACGAAAGAAAACGTAAAAAAGCAAGAAGAAAAGCTAAGAAATTAAAGAAAGCTATGAAAAAACGTAGAAAGAAGAAGAGAATGAAGAAAAAGTTGAAGAAGAAATTAAAGAAATCTAAAAAGAAATCCCGTAATACTGAAAAGTCCAAAGACAGTGTTTCAAAGGATTCTACCCAAGAAATATCAGAAAAATCAAAGGCAATGGCACCAATGACAAAAGAGGAATGGGAAAAGAAACAGAGTGTAGTACGTAGAATTTATGACGAGGAAACTGGAAGATACAGGTAGTTGTCATGAAAACAAATCCAATTTTATTAACAGATGTGCAACATATATTAAGAATTACTAATAATTAATTAAATACTCTCACAGATTAATTAAAGGTGATGGAGAAGTGTTAGAGGAAATAGTGAGCAAAGACCGCCATAAAGAAATAAACAAACAAGCAACTAAAGGAGATGGAGAATACTTCCAGGCACGCCTGAAAGCCAATGTTTTATGAACTATTTTTCTATGTACGCTAAAAAAATATCCTTATATAATAATTACTTTATTCTCAGTGTTAAAATCCTGTATGGCAGTATGTTTTTTAATGTCTCAGAGAAAATACTTATGTGTTGTACATTAACGAATTTACCTACAGTGTGATTTTGATTATATTACATACACAACCTTAATGACCAAATGTTGAAATATAATCAACAACGAAAACAATTTAGACTTAAGCAAATTTTATATAGTCATTTTTTTCATACTATGATTATTAATGTTCTTTGTCACATATGATCAAAAAAATTTTCAGTATATTTAAGACATAGAACATGATGTATTAATTTGAAGAAAATTTGTAACTATTTATGAACTTCATAAGTCAGTTACATTATTTTCATAAATAAAAAATTAATTGGTAAATCATTTTCAAAATATAAATTTTATTTTATGCAAGTAGTTCTATTATTATTTATATACAAATTATCTTACAAATTTATAAAGCTTATATTACTATTCAATAGTTTCTTTAAATAATGGATATATAAAAATTATTTCGTTATGAATATTAACATTATATGTAGTTAAGTAATTCATATCAGGATAAAAATCTTATCAAAACCAAAAGAAAATATTTTATGTAAATTAAATGCTTATTGAAGCCCTTGTGAATTAACAGTGGAAAAGATACAGTTATATGTATTATACACAGAATCAATACAACTGAATAAAATGAGTTGTGTGTCCGTCTCGGTAAATAGGATCATCTGTAATTTCTGCACGGCATAGTGGACATGATCGTTCCCTGTCTAACCATGTTAAAACACATGCTTCACAGAAAATATGTTTACAATATAATTTTATTGGCACTGAATATTCCTCGTGACAAATCGCACATATACCACCAGATGCTGCTATCTGTTCTTTCGACGGAGATACACCCAAATTCTGTAAAATTATTATTATTTTATAAATTCATTTTACTAACATTTTTGTTTGCTTTTTTTTTTAACAAACGTACAAAACGTACCGCATTTTGAAATAAGTTCCAAATAGCAATGTAGAACAATTTTATGCGAGATAATAAATCATTTCTTTTGCTTAATCCATACAACGCAGCAAAACATACGCCTAAAATCTTTTCTGGACCTTGATAAGCTTCAAACAAATAATATAACCATGGTTGAATTGGTGCAATACATCTGTAGAGTTGAGATGTTGCTTCCACCATCAGATAGCACTTTCCCTGCAATAAAAATTTCATTTAGTTTTCAATAAACTAATGCTATTAAAGCATTATATGTTGAAACTTACCCTTTGTCGCAGTGCCAACAATTTTAACGGAATACATGTTAAAACCACTTTACAAACGACAGTAAGCAATTTTAAAATAAAATCCGTTACCAACACTGACCACAACAATTCCCAAATTGTAAGTGGTTGCGTATATGGAGAAAATAGATGTGTTTCATATTCGAAATTAATAAACACTATACATGCAACAATATAACATGTAATAACTAAAAGTGACACCCAACTCTTATTATGTTGTTTGGCGATTTCACGTTTCACAACATTATTAGCATGATTAAATGTTACAAGTAATACTATAAAATTCAATATTCCAGCTCTATTGTCATAAAGACCTTTAGTAAGAAGAATAGAAACAAAGGGAATATATTTCTGAAATACTCCAATTAATGCGCGTGTTTCTGGATTCATTTGTAATCCTTCGGGATTATTTTCCTCTACATTATTATTATTATTGTTATTATTATTATGGTTGACAATATTGTTGCTATTATTACTTTGATTTTCACCCACAACCTCGTTTGCAGCCTCACGAATATTGTTTAAAAAATTATCTGTTGTTGTTGTTTGATGCTGATGATGATGACTGTCATACGTTGAAACCTCGCGTGAATTTGTACTATCTTCTGGGTGATTTTCAACATTAATCACATAATTGTCAGATGATGCAATAGGAACAGTATGCGTTGGATTTTGAATTCTTTGAATGTTTAATAACGAAGTTAACGAAGCACTAGGCTGCTGCAAGTAGAAATGATAATGACATAAAAATTATCTATATTATTATATGGGTTTATAAAATCTACATTGTGGCTATACTTACAATACGTACTTGTTCTATAAAAGGTCTGATCTCTTCTATAGTAGTAGATATATTATTTGCAAAAAGTCTAGATTGTTCCATAGTTCTAGCACCAAAATTAAAACCTATGTCAACAGAAGTAGATCTAACTGGTGTCACTGGATGTGTCATTAGCAAACCTGAGGATTGCCCATTAATGTTTGACATATGAGGCATTGTAGAAGTGGGAATTACATTAACAACCTCTTCCAGTCTCACGTTGTCTGCCATTCTATATACACAATAATAATAATTATATATATTTAAATTAACATATATACACCCACACAATTTGTTATCAAGAATTTATGTATGTAAATATACATGCAAATATTCTTTAGAATAGAACTTCAAAAACGGCTCTAGATGCAACTACAAATTAATCTAATCAATGACAATCAAGCTAACATATATTCTATCTACTGACGCAAGTGCGTTAGTATTTTTTTTATCAATATACGTAGATCAGTAAAAGGTTTACATACGGTATGGAGTTTATTTTTATTATGTTCTCCCGAGGAAGCATTAATTAACATCAAGATGATTCAATGTAAGTTTTTGACCATGTAATCATGTGACTAATATTGACACAACATATGGTAAACGGTAGGAAGAAGTAGCATATTCACCACCGAAGATTAAATATTAGAACATGCGACCACAGATTGTAGCAACCGATACAAAAAGCTTTTAGGGGAAATCCATTTTACGTTGAGATTCGATAAACTACTACAATGCGTCACAAAACACTACTACATTCTTCAGAATGTTATAATCTCCTCAAAAACTTGAGGAAAGCTTTGATCCATAGTTTTTTAGAAAAAGAGATATATATGTAAATGTATAATCTGTAGTCAATGCTCTTACGCCATTTTCTCTAGTATTACTTTTGCTCAGCGACTACTGTAGTCACTGTTTTGCTTGAGATTTGAGATACCGACAGAGAACCGTGTCTATAATTTATTGGGCCCGAGGAAAAATGTTGAGATTTCAGAAGAAAATGTTAATTTTTAAACAAATTCAAGTTCCGTATAAATCTTTGATACAACACAAAAATTAAATTGTTTTAAAAAATCATACACTGTCATGGCTATGGGTTAATAACTTTTCTATGCAATTGGGTGCTGTGTTAAATTAATCAAACCTTATTTGGAATATTTATATTTTGAAATTTTGGTACTTTGAAGTTTTGTAATAATGGAATTGTAGGACTTTAGAATTTCGTAACTGTGTGACTTCAGGATTTTATACTTCTGGAACCTTGTCAAAATATAATTTGGCATAGACTTGAGAATTTGTCGCTGTTTATGAGAGAAATGGTACGGCACTGAAGCGAGCCGGTATAAACGAGAAATATATTATTAAATCGTTTTCAAGTGTAATCTTATTTTCAGGCTTAATTTTACTGGCAATGTTTAGGAAACAATCTTATAATAGTTTCTTGTCCTAGGTTCAAACAGTGCAGTAATATTTCTTTGTTAAACGGCCAAAAATTAATCGAGACCATATCAAATTTTGACATGCTGTGATGCAATGCATGTCAGTTCAAAATGATACGTAACGGTGACATACGGATATTTGACGCTAGATGATACTCAAATTTTAGTTGAAAATATCACTGTATGTCTTGTGTAATAGAAGTTGTTACATAAAATATCTTAATTATTAATTATTATATTATTTTATACAATATAAATTATCATGAAATATATTAATTAATTATTTATTCTAATAATAAATATTATCATACACAACAATATTATAACTTTATAATTAATTTTTTTAAAGTTGAAATGTCAGTACAATATAACGTTGTAATAATTACAATATTGTGAGTCACTTTGTTTCCATTCGTTGCTTCTGAGTTACTTTCCACTCATCTAAGTAGCTCCTGTGTTTAAAAATTTTATCTTTCAGATATTTGAAATAAATGAGTCATTGGGAAACATTTTAATGACCGAAAGATAACTCAAATTTTGACTATAAATGTTATTTGAAGTCACATGTTTGTACGCGCTATGTGAAAGACACTACTAATGCTATCTAGCGGCAAAACACAGGACTACCGAAATAAAAATTGCATTTCGTAAATTAAAACATTTTTATGTTTCACTTATGTTTTTGCAAATTGTTCCACGGTCACGATAAAGTCAGAAAAATGTCCTCAGAGAAGGCTTGAATCTTCATATTCGAAAGTTTAAAATATTTTGTGAATCTTAAAATGTTTTATCATCTAATGGTGTGAAGGAGAAACTAGCTAAATGTCACGAGCACAATTTTTATATTATTTTTATTTAAATTACATAGACGACATATACATTAACAGTATTCAATAAAACCACATTAAATTATATGTATATGTACGCGTAAAAAAATATTGAAAAATTTCTATTTTTAAAGTTTTGTTTAATTCGCGGCATCATTTTCAGAATAGTCGATCGTCTATAAGGTAGGAAATGACAAAAAGTAAATAAATAAATAAAGAAACGTAATGAAATAAAAAGGTAAAGAAATAAAATGTAAGGTAAATAAAATTCATTACAGTCGCACAAAACGAAAAATGTATATTTCAATAAACTTGTTCATAACAAACAGCGCTTAGATGATACAATCGAAAAATTATTTAATGAAAGAACAGCAAAATATGTTATAAAGTATGTTGATATTTATTGAACCGCTGAAGTTTATTTTCGAGGATGTTCAACGTGTGTCCTTCGTTTATTTTTCCTCCGCACCCCTTGGATCGAATTCAAATAAGTATAAGTGCATTTTGATGTTGGATGTTCAATCGGTGCATTAATAACTTTCGACCAAATGATAGATGCGACTGCACCCAACGTTCGTGACATGCATAACAACACTTGATTGAATTCCATGTCTTTCATTCCGTAAAACTTGAAAAAATACGATACAAATTTTTCAATAATCTTATTTAATACTTAAGTGCGATGATTAAAAAATAGTTAGCTTCTATTACCTAAAACTAATACATTCGTTTGATTACTTTTTGATATATTTAATAGTTACACAAGAAAAATAATTTTGTACAAAACAAGGAAACAAACATACTAAATGGAGAAATTTCGTTCATATTGTAATAAAAATAGCTTGTATACGCATTGCCCCGTTTACGAACTTACCCCACTTCAGCTTAACTATTCTATTCTTATATGGAATAATAAAATGTACCTGCAAAACTGGCGCCGCGATTGTATTTTGTTCAGGACAAATTTTCATTCCTTTGGAACTCTTTATCATCGTGTCAAGTATTCGGCTGATAGCTTGCGATAACTTGAAAATTATTCAAACATATTTTATTGATTATCGTAATATACCAGAAAAATTTTGTGCGAAAGAAAAAAATCGTAACAAAAACACATAAATAATAATTTTGACAAAGGCTCGTAAACGATATGCAATCCAATGAAATTATTATTAACAAAAAAATAAATGTTTGTGAATGCACCTTTATGTCAGGATTATCTGGCATAGATTCCTTCACGTAGTTTAACATTGCGATGTATCGTGAATCGCAAAATTCTGCTTTTCTATAACCAATTAATTCCTTATTTTTTATCAAAGTACCAAGATAATCTTTCAATTTCTCTTCTTTCGGCTCGTGACCCCAATATTGTTGTATTTTCGTTTGAAATTCCATATACTGTAGATTTAATAAAAGATTGTATAATAAAGTAAGTGAAAAGAGGAATAATAATAAATTTATGGATGAAACGAATATGTCGATCAAACACTGTAGAGAACTTGCGAAATTACTTGTGACATTGTGCCGCTCTTCGGTTCATCGGTGTATGCTAACACACCTGCTGCCAAAGCTTGATTGATATTCGATTGGGAAGCGCCGAGTATTTCTGAGATGTGGATAGCAGGAACTCCTCCGTTCTCATCACTGAAACAGAAATGATAGAAAAATAGATTTAGTAGAATTTTTATAATGAACTTGCATGTTACACAAAACCAATTGAATCTTTTATTATAAAAAGTGGGATATTTAAAAAAATGAAGTTAACCCTTTCCCTTACTTTGACGACTCTCGGTCGTGACGCGCTTACAGCTAAAATGTGACAAACCTTACTCAAATTTTGAATATTCTTCAACTTGAAATTTTTGTCCACCTATAAGTTACATTATCAAGGATCTCTGAATATAAAATAGTTACAACATTTTAATTTTCTTTGTTCGTTATAATGTTATAGCCCTGAATAGTTAGTCTTGACTGACGCATCTGTTAAATAAATGGTAAGGGAAGGGGTTAACAATAACAGTAGATAAAACACCGGAATAAAAGGATAAAGCTAAATAATATCGCAAAATGAATTGAAGAAATGAAAAATGTATGGACATAATTTACTCACGCATTTAAGGTAATAAATAATCGAAGGAAGTCTGCTATAGATTTCTTATGACTTTCAGAGATGTTGGACGAATTGCTCAAACATTCTAAGAAAAATTGCACCCAATCGCCATCTTCTTTCACATTTTTAAATTCTTCGGTCCTAGCGATTAGTCCTATTATTGCGGGTAGCGTTGCAAGTAGTTCCATACCATCTTCATAAGCATACTTAAAACAGAAACTTATGATTGTACTTTGTATAGAGATAGTTCACTGCAAAGTGGCGAAAATACTACATTTTCAAATCACATTGAAAAGTGAATTTTAACGTTCTCATAATTAAGGATAATTTTCAGAACTCTATGGGCGATTTAATACAATAATTTAAAAGAATTTTTTTTTTTTTTTTTTTTTTACGTGGGGGAAATNNNNTAATAGTGCTTATGTGATGTATAAACATAGTGAAATAGACAATAGTGAAAATTATTAGTAAAGAATTAATAACTTCAAAAGAAGTCATTTAACAGTTTAATTAATATTTTAAAGTTACTGTTTGCAAAAAGTAAAATTATCTTCGAGTGCAAAGGGCTAATAGTAATAAAAAAATATATGTGTGTGTGTATGACAATGAATTTTCCGAAATTATTTTGTGTTATTTTCATTTTTTTTTATCAATAATTGAACTACCATTTTAGTTTTATTGAGATTATTATTAGTATTATTAATAGTTCAGTTATTAATAACAGAAATGAAAATAACACAAAATAATTTTGGAAAATACATTATTATACGACATACAAATTTCTAATTGAGCGAGCGAAGCTCTTATACTTGACTTTGCAACTTCTTTGTCCGCGTTTTTCTTTTGCACCACTCAATCAATTCTCATCAAATTTTGCACGCACATGCGTATGTACATCCAGATGGACATAGAAAAAAAAATTTTAATCGGACTTGCCACGAACGAATAATCACCGAAGAAAATGATCCTAAAAAGTGAGGGTCCGAACACGCATATAAGGAAAATAAAAAAATGAATATTTCAGCACTTTGGGGACGTAGTATGGTTCCTGAGGCATTTAGAAACAAATTTCTATTAGGGTTTGATGCGTTTTGACGCCTAATAAAGCCAGGAAATCAATTTTTGTCGAATTCGTTCCAAAACGGTACAGGTGGCGCCATCTAGCGGCGAGCGGCGGAACTACGAAAAACTAAAATTTCGATTTTCTCCGAAATTTGGCAATTTTACGTATTTCTGAGGGTCAGAAACTGTTCTGTGACCTCTCTAGAATCTATATAACGCCACAAGAACCTCCTTAGAGCGCTAGAAAAGAAAATAAAAAAATAGGTCAAAACATGGACTAAAAAATTGGCGTCCATCTAGCGG